ACTTTTTAAAAGGAACTATTCGAGCAAATACAAGTTTAGTTGTACAAGTGTACTCTCTCCCTCTTTCCTCTGCGCTTTGAGCATGCACTAGAGTGTGGATTATAGCGCATAAGAAATGTCCATTATTATTAATTTTTATTATTAAATGTTCATCTGACCAATGACATTAGCTGAAGCAGTCTTGGGTGTCTTTGGGTGTCACATGTCAGAAAGTGGAGTCTGCAATTTTAACTGTAGTGTTCAAACATTTATTAAGACAGTAATTTCATACTTACTATGTCTTTTCTATATTTTCATTAAACACCCTTTCTTAAATTGTCTTTACCACACAATTATGAGCAAATTTCGAAAACCCTACTGCATCCTTTTGAGCAGAAATAATTCGGAGATTAATGCCAACTGATTAAAAATGATGACATGAGGCAGATAAGTAGTTTGATAAACTGATCTAGGGGACGAGGCCTTTATATACAAACTGATTGCTAATTTCAACTGTAGTGCTTTGTGTCTTACGATGTAAGAACTCATTATTATTTATTTTCATTTTGATTACTGTTTGTTGTTACTTATGTTGTAATACCGGTATGTTGATGTCTTATGTTCATCGCTTTGTTTATTAATTAGTGTTAAGCAAACATTGATTTTCATCATAAACAGGTGATTAAAGAGCAAACAATTTTTGAAACAAAGTTTTGTGATAATTTGTTTTTAAAAATGTGTTTCCACATAATACCTATTCTCTGCATGCATATACCAACTTTGTTTATAGTCGCCCTCGTACTATATTAACAACCAAGACCAGGGAGTCGGAAAGCCTGGGAGCGGCATATCATACAAAGGGAGACAATCCATCACATTCCACGTCACCACGAAGGACAACCAAATGAAAAAGAATATACATAAAAGATGATTGGTTTATCTTGTGGAATGAGATGCAAACATGGGAATGACGTCATCATCGGTCTCATTTCGGCTAAAGTGCTACTTGTAGAATAACATGGTCAGATTTAAAGGACTGCAATATGTTTTGTCAAATGATTCTTACCGATAACCACAAACGACCTGGATTTTAAAATGTAAAAAAGCGCTGGTAGAAGGAATTCTGCTTCTAAAATGCACTATCATTCAGTGATAATATTAATTTATTTTATAGATTTAATGTTTCGTTAGCATAATAACAGGAACATTATTTCCGGACGAATTAAACGAATCAAAACATATATTGAGTTTTCATAGCTTTTCTGTCAGGGATCCGTGCCAATTTACGTTTATCAGATGTGTGCTTAAGGCTACTAATTGCCTGAGTTCCACTCTGTGATGGCTCAGTGGGTTAGATCGCTAACTTCATTGTGTGCTGTTGTGCAGGTGCGTCAGTCTGAGAGGTGGCTTCGAAACCCAGATACGACTCTAGCAAAACAGATACTGGGACCTGTACTGAGAACGTGTAATCCCAAATACAGAATTTGGTACATCCGACCACTTTCTGAGAGGCAGTCTGTTGTCATAGGAAGGACCTAAAGTACTCACGGAAATAGAAATAAAATGTTTTTTGGTGTTTATTTCGTAGTTTTGTACACAGCTTAAGTTTCATTGTTAAATATTCTATGACTATCGTTCGGAACTTTTGTTTTAACACTTATTATAAAATCATCCGAAATAGATGAGTTCACTGGAGAGCAAATCGTGTCATTTTACCCCTTGAAAAGCCATCAGTCAAAATGTACGTTTCTGATGCAAGCTATAGTATGCAAATGAGATGTAGCCTACTCTCCATCGGTACATAATATATTTTATGAAAAAACGTCATCCTTTATTTCTTTTATCCTAGTTGATATGCAAAATAATTGATTTAGGGATTTTCTCATTTCATTTTCATGTCTCTACTCTTGTCGAAAGTTTGCTATATTAACGAGGTAGCTGCTACAACCCATTGTTGATTGTGACATAAGTTATAACATATTTCTAAATTTGTTGATAATATACATTTTTTGGTTATTTTTACCTGTAAAATGGTATTTCGGATGATGATTAGAGGACCCAATATAAATGGCCTAGTTCGAAAAAAACATATTATATTAAACATATAATATTTATTAAATCTACCTATTTTAATAAAGTAATATACAAATAAACGCCCCAAACCGTTTCATCTCTATTTCCGTGAGTACTATAATTTACATCCTATACATAAACATAGTCCTAAAACATATTAATTCATTATCATAAATTTTCAATATATGATGTTTAGATTTTACTCATAATCCATGTGTTTAATTTTACAGATGAATGTTATTTGTTTGAAGCCGGTGTGAGGATAAGAAATGCACTTGTCATTCCTACAAACGGAATAAGGGATACAACTCCAGCACCACTTCTCAACACCACAAGCAGCCTCAACAGAACGGCTAGTCTCGGAATTACACGACTGAATCACGAGTCATCTTTCGGTTCCTCCCGGACTTATACGAGTGATGACGATATCGTTGTCGCATCCATTCGTCAGTATCGCGCACCATATCCGGGACAAACCGAGCCGTACACATAATATCGTGACGTCATCACTTTTTGTGCACGCTAGAGAGTACACAAGAAAAGAGAACCGGTGGCATTTCAGATTGGTGTATGTTTCTTTAATCTTCTTTTGTTTCTGTCGTTGCACTATGTTCTGCAATCGTTAATGTTTTCATGTCAAATAATCTTTGTTGCATGCCATGCACTGAATTTAGCTGTGGTTGCATGCATTAGGAATACATCGGGTGCATGGGGAAGTTGACGAATCGAGTGACCTGAGATTTATTTTTGTTTCCTGCCGATATGCAGAAATGGGACTTCGTGTGTGTCGTTGAAAATGCGACCTTGAAATGCTTGTCGATATGTTTACAAACACTCACATTGCACATGTAGTTCGATCATGTCGAAATTTGCATTACAGCATATTTTAAACGTGCTTGTCAAAGGACATCTGCGCAGCCAGTGGGGGTGGGCTTCATGCTAGTTGAACTAAGGTTGTTGTTTTTATTATTTATTTACAAACGAATAATTGTCAGATGTGTCCTTATTCATACCTTGACGCCTTTCTGATGTTTTAGCATTTCAAAATAATTTTAGTGTGTTTGTTGGTTTTACTGAGTGTGGAGATTTCACTGACGTTTTGTGAACCTGAATGTTTGAACAGCATCGAACAAGTTAGTGAGTTAATAAACATGAAGCATACATTCTTGCTTATTGCATTGATCGACCTTTCAAAGTAGATGTTTTCATTGTAATCAAGCTGAGTGTGTATTTACGATGCCCAAACGTTGCTTGATAAGAGTATGATAATGTACACCAAAACGTTGCAATATGCAACAGACATATTGTTATCCACATAGTTGTATGCTTCATTGTAGTATGCAAATTACTCTTTGCCTGCTTCTCTAGTTAAAAAACATTGTTGCACGTTTTTATTTTTGGGTATATATGCAGGGATCATTTTGGACTTTGCCATTGAGCATACTTGTATTTAGATATGAAATGGCACATTGAAAACAGCATAAGGAGCCCTCACAGCTCATATCAATCCCACATTTCACCACACAATTTAACATCTAAACCCTCATAAATATGCATCTAACCATGTGTAGAGCATGCTTCCTTTGTCTTCGACCATACTATAACCATCCGACCATACTATAAGTTCATAACCATCTGATGTGGCGGTTACAACCCGGACGGAACTACTTTCTCAAACGAAAAGAACAATTTCGACTATAATTACTTTTTATTACTTTTTAATGACAACAGACACTGAAATCGCGACACGATCGTCCGTCACACTTTGCGAGACTGTGGTAGTGGTAGCTACGTCGACATTGGAGTCAGCAGTTCGTCGTCTTTTAGGGAGTTCACCGTCACCTTGGATCACATTGCTCAGTTCTTTCTCCTGAGCTGTAATAACTCGCTTGTACTCTTACAGTGGTACTCTGATGTCCCGTTGTTCTGGCGATTAGTTGTTCATCAATGCCTGACTGAAAGAGTCGAGTGGCGCATGTAGTTCTGAGTGATTGCTGTAAAAACCTGCAATAAGACAATTTACATTATTGCTAGTCTAACAAATTAAGGAATATGGCTATATGTTCAACGCTTTTCAATACCGCCCCTTTGAACAGTCATACAGAAGCCTTGTCAATTTACGCTTACAGTACAAGGGCAGCCTCAATCAGAAATATGGTCACGCCATACTGTGAAACCAAAAACCACCACATTCACAAGTTTAATGAAAAGTTAAAAAGGTAAAACTTACCTTCCAAGCCTGCTTGTTTACACATCTTGCCAACTGTCTGCTGCAGAGTGTGTTTTCCAACAGCCTGCTGACTGTACCACTGATCATCTCTGGGCTTCACCAGTGGTAGCAAATACATGACACGGGAGTTGGTCGGACGCAGACTACAGTACTTTCTGAATATCGCAACTACACACTTGTTACGATCGTCACTGGCGTATGCACGAACACACTTTGGAGGAACACCAAAATCCTTAAGTCCACGCTGGTAACACTTACTAGTCTTCTCAGAATAAAGAAGAAATTCTCCAGTGTCATCCTTGTCAATTTCGAATTGGTCAACTGTAAGATTCCTGTGCTCATTGCCGCTTCATTGCAAAATTTAATCCAATGAGGAACAGCATTGTATCCAAAGAACCTGTGGTGACGAAACTCCCAAGATGCCCATATCCCACATAGTTGTCGCTTGTTCATAGGAAATAACCTTGGCCTTTTTGTACGAATTCCGATACCACATTTCGATCCTTCTTTCATTACACTGTCCAATATATTTCGCAGTTCAAGAAAAAACATATCCGACAGGAATTTCAAATCCCGGCCACACCTCGTCAAATGCATGTTCAATAACAGCACTAACTGCTGGAGAGTTTTCGGATTATATTCAGATCCATCGCTTTTGCGCACCTCGCATACAAAAAGACACAGAGAGTAATTAAGTTCATCTTCGTTCAGATCCTCGAGTTTGTGAGATATTAAACTTAAACGCTGTCCGGATGTTTCCCCTCGTAAAATTCTCTGATTACGTGAATTTCTCCAAGTTTCAAAAAGACCACAGGCCCAACGTAAATTCTGTTTGGTATTTTGAGGCACACTTGTCTCGCATAATCCTGCAATTTCAGAATCCAACAACGGTACAGAAAATCTTTCATGATCACTATGCTTCCCACTACCGCCGCCAAACACATTCTCACTCACGTGGACTTCTTCCTCCACGTCACTAATATCGCTGTAATGTTGCTGAAGAAGATCCCTTTCCTCCGCTTCATCATCTTCAGAGTTTTCACTTATTGTCAAAAACTCACACTGTGAAGCTGGAATCAACGTATCGTCGCTGTCGGTCCCACTCATACCTGCTGCGTAATGAAGAGACATGTGCGCGGAGACCATGTGTTTGTAAAGGTGAGATTTCCGAAAAGCACGTGCTTTACGTCCTCGGTTCATTAACCATCCTTGATGAGGGCCCGGAATGAAATCCTATGTACCCCTGAAGCTGATTAATCAAAGAGCATCGGGCCGCTTTCTCAAGACGACCTGCGATAACTGGTAAAGACATATTAGCGTTGATTTAACGTCGATATCGACTGTACGGGCCTTTAGGTAGAATACAGAATATAACACACATTAGCACGTGCCGTTCATGACATAAACCTCGGGCTCTAACCGCCTTAATCCACGGTTACAGAACGCGTCCTCGTCTTCTAACCTATACTTATAAAGCTGAAAGCATGAGAAGTAGATCACTGAGCATGCTCTGTTTGATAAATGTCTGTTTACTTATACTGTGTCCCTTAACCAAATGCATGCATGAACAGACATGTAATAACAATCTTGGTAGGAATGAAACTTTGAGGTAAAACATCACTAGAATTAATAAATGATTTGCCATTTCAATTATACCTCCAGTTCAAGTTGTGTTTTCATGATCTTGTTAGTAAAAACAAAGGTGTTAAGCATGCAACTCACCTTGGTCTAATTCATTTCCTCCTAGAGGTTCCTAGAGACTGGTTAGACTGATGTTCTCTGGATGCTAAAATACTATAATGAAACTGATTTATTTAGTAAGGATAGGGATAGTATATCTAATTTTCACCATATACAAACATACTTAGGCGAATTACATTGCTAAAAAGTAGCTGCCAAAAGTAAGGTTCATAGACTGTGTATGCACAAACAATTTGTGATCGTGATAACATTACTTTCTTGTTACTTAATCAAACAATTAAGTCATATTTATGTAGTGTTGCTATTCTTATGTATCAAAATGTAAACAGTCTAGTATAATAAAGATTGTGACTTCAGACGACGGTCTTTCGTGCTGCATTTACGATCCTACAGCAGACAATCCCTCCTAACTCATCGTTTGACAATCCTGTCTGCTTTGCCGATCCCTCTGATGTTTCTTCTGGATTCTTTCTGCATTATCCTGTCCTCCTCTGATCTTGTTTTCACCTTTGACAATCGCTCTTGATCCAGCGATCCCAACTTCACGCCAGTTGGCATCTTCTCTACCTAGTTTATCCCTCGTCTACGATGCCCAGCTTGGAGTCATACTCTACTGATTTTTCATCTGCTCGAGTCTCAAGTTTGTCGATCCCAACCAGCCTTTGGGATCTTTGTTCCAAGGATCTTCTGGTGTTGTATCAGTTTTGGGATTTTCAAGCCTTCATCCAGACTCTTAACAATAACTTAAACTTCCACCTTCGACAGTCTCTCCTGGATCTTTGCTGCTTCTAAATTCAGTGATCCAATCTACATGCTAACCTCCGTCTGTCTGCCCAGCTGGTTTTATCCCTGATTCTCAAACTTCTTAAGCAGGATGATACTCCTCGTCACTGTTAAGACAATACTTCAATGATTCCTTACTCAACCTGGCATGTCTGTCTCGATGATAATTTGGAGATTTTACATGCGCTTTCCGACATAATTGCATATTTTGCACATGGTTGCCTGTTTGTGGGATCATTCGCACCTGTTTTGCCAACCCACGACTGTCTTTTCTACAGTAAAAGCCTGTCAAAAGAAATGTCCACATCAGGAGCATATCTTTCTATAGTGGATATTTAACAATATACAAAAGGGAATATACTCCTGAGGGTAGCAGTGAGAGCGTTTGATATGGATCGTGAATAAGCTTTTGCTTCCCAAGAGTTCAACGGTGGATCAACAGCACATGAAACTGTATCTTTGCTCACTTGTCATGAGGAACGACCATCATGCCCTGCTGAGTGTTGAAAACGGCCCCGGTGAATTGACCAGTCCCGCCTTCTTGATGTTAATTATCCACCCAACTGACAGAACAACTTAGTGGTAAAGCCAAGTACATTCTGTACAAACAGTATATGTTGATACACATTTTGGACATTGAGTCTAATCATGGCCAAAACATTGACTCATCTTGTAGTGCTGATAACTTTGGTCATATGGCATTAACAAGTGCAGTCATTTTCAAGATTCTTGCATACCATCTTGAAGAACACCCAAGCACTATGTCTCTATCTGGTGTAACCTCCACCAACTGCAAAACCATCCCTGACCTTCATCCTCACTGACTGTTTCAGACGTTGAATTTGATGTTGAGATATTTGCGTTTTATTCTTGATGGAGGACTTGTTCCAGTCCATAAAGTGTTTGTAAACGGATGAAGTGTGGGATTCTTACGGGTGGTTTTGGAGATGAGAGATGGTCTTCACATCATATTGCCTATGACTGGTATGAGGCATTTGTTTTTGCTGTTCTGTTCTTTATCTGTTTATGTTATCTGTGAAAACTTGTATATTGTCTAAGTTATAATTTACAACAACCTGTTCTCAATGGATATCTAAGTAGAATGTTGTATGTTTATATATACCATCCACAAAAAGTAGGGGATATTGGATTTACAAGATTGATAAAATGCAAATGATGAAGCCAAGGAGGAGACAGATGATGAAGAGAAATTAAGGGAAAATGTGACAATTTATTCCATTCCTTTGGAAATGTTTCATCTGTATGGATATGCATTGGCATTGGCTAGTGGTATGCTCGCAAAATGGAATATCCCCTACTTTTTTTGAATGGCATATATATATCTTTATTAGGCGAGATAAAAGTTATGTTTTTACCCCAGCTTTCAACTTCATTTAATCATTTTAATATGCTAAAATATGTGTATCTTTAATTTGGATGTATCCTATTTCTTGCAGATTTTTGAATTTGTAATTTGAAAGTACTATCTAAGCAACACACCATGCCAGCGATAAAGCTGAAGAAGGCAGCCGCAGAACACCAGGCAGAGAAGGAGCGGGAAGAAAGAGAGCGAGAGTCTGAGGAAGTGATGGCAGTGAAGACAGTCCCCAGCACCGTCACCATCAAACCCAAGGAGGCCTCCATCGGTGGGAGTCTCATGAAGGGTTTGGATGCAAACATTCTCCTGGAGAAGAGAAAGAGAACCATTCCTCCATCAGAGCAAAAGCTTATTGACTGGTAAGTTTATTGAGACATACCTCAGTCATGTTTCACACTACTTAAAGCACAGTTGATCAGATAAAACTAGGTCTTGTATGTTGCTTATTAGATAATGTACAGAATGCAGTTATTGTTGTCATAAAGTAAAACTATCGATATGGTATTGATTGAAGTATTTCTTTAACAGTTTTACATGTTTCAAGTTGATGATGGTCATGTTTTGGTAGGATGGAAGCCAATCTGGAGTCCAAGGAAGAATGTCGTGTATCACTCAACAGTCTGTATGACTACTTTGGAGAGGCCTGCTCCTTTGATGGGACAGCTGTGGTTGATCAGCCAATGTTTAACAAGGTAGGTGTCAGGGGTTTGTCTTGTGAAAGTACTGTAAACATACTTATTTTCCCGTGGTGCAATTTTTCGCGGAATTGACAGTTTAGACTACATCGCGCGGTCAATTATTCGCGCCATCAGTAATTGCCGGAACTGCCAGCTGTCTCTTTGGCCGCCACTAATAGCAGTGAAAACAAACAGAGTGGCTTAACCTGTCAGGCAGCGTTTATTGCTTACTCACAGGAAATCCCTATCTGTGCGATATACCAGTACAAAGTAATCTGTTTACTCACGGAAGAGATGAAAAACACACCAGTCTTATGTTCCGCGAATTCTGATGATCTGACGAATTAACTTCTACTGTATATGAAGCTCTTTGTGATTTCAAACAAGCTGGGTTGTTGTGAATGAGATGATTGAGTGTTAAGTGACTATTCGCTTCATGATGTACTGGTAAATAAAATCTAAACGAATAAATAAAATACTGCTGTATTATTTCTTTCCAAGTCGTTTCATGGTAATCTGTTTTGTATCAAACCATCTGTCATGTGACCAATTTCCATGGCGGCCACAACACACATTGCTGTTTTCGCTAATTCGGCGATGGGATTTGGCTCATTATTTAATTATGTTTTTGGAAATCCATTACAGCGACAGTTAAGTGTGATTCTTTATGCTGCTATCAGTCGTCATTTTAAGATTCCCGTAGATTTCTGTCTTCAAACTTGATGTGTTATGGTAACAACTCAGGGGCGAGCGTGGCTAGACTGAATGAATGACAGGTTTATTCACGGTGTATAAATTTTCGCGCTAAAATGTTTTGTGCGAAAAGCGCAAAAATAAAACCTGCGCGAAATATAATACGTTTACAGTATTTAACTGAAAGCTTTCAGGGTCAAACCATAATGAGCAGTGATAAGCGAAAGTGATACATCATCTTCAGTTGCCCACCAACAACCTTAAGATTTACAAAACCATGTTTAGTCCAGTTTGATAAACTATTTGTAACATAACTTTGAAAGAGTTAATACACCTCAAAGTCCGACCAGTCCAGCTGACTACAGGTGTTGTCTTCTATCAAAGGAGACTCTATGGGTTATATTTTGCTTTTCACAGAGGATCACTGACAAGTTTGGCAAGGCTTTTGCTCTGAAAGAATCTTCACCATACAAAGGCCTGATCAAGGAAAAGAAGTCAAAAGGAAAGGGGAGTACAGTGAAGGCTGACACACTCAAGATCAAGATGAAGGATATCATAGAAGAAGCCATTAAAGAAGCAGGAAATCCTGTATCCTTCTTTTAGCTTAACACTAAGAGCAAGTTATGAACAAGAATGGCACACATCGCTTGTAAATAGTCCTAAATTTTCACTTTATTCTTGTTTTAAAATCTCATTTAATGTTGAATTTTACATAAAAGATTTATCAATTTCAAAATTCCGATCGGCCCTTGCTAAATTCAGATGTTCTTCACACCGCCTCCAAATTGAATCAACACAGATCAAATAGATTATGTTTTGTATGTAAAGATAACTTTATTGTAAATGAATTTCATTTTATTTTGGTATGTAAATGTTATCAAAATCTGAGATGTTTGAATTTACCACATAACTTTCATTCGAATCCCACTGTTCATAAGTTTAATATGCTCATGTCATCTGGCAATCCATATATTGTGAAAAACTAGCTATTTATATAAACAATGCAATGAAACTTAGAGATTCACTTCTATGCCAATAATATCATATTTCCTTTTGTATACTTTGTAAATACACTTTTGTCTTCTGGGGGCGGTTGGGTAGCCTAGTGGTTAAAGCGTTGGCTCGTCACGCCGAAGACCCGGGTTCGATTCCCCACATGGGCATAATGTGTTAAGCCCATTTCTGGTGTCCCCGCCGTGATATTGCTGGAATATTGCTAAAAGCGGCGTAAAACTAAACTCAGTCAGTCAGTATTGTCTTCTGAACTATATATGCACATATGTACCGCTCTGAAATCCTGAAGTGTAGCCTGGGCCTATGGCCTTCACTACAAAGAAAATAAAGATTGATTGACTCAGCTTAACACAGTACAAATTTGACAGAAAATCAGCATTTCATCAGACCAGTTGAAGAGGTTGTCATCCATAATATTTGCCTTCTACCAGTTGTTATTCAATGCCCCACCTAGCTGAACCATGGTTTAACATTGTCATTATTGTTTCTCATGTAAATTATAATGTTTTAAACAGCTTTAGGATTTTTTTATTAATGTGTTAAAGGTTTTTGATAGATTCTATAGATAACACTATGGTATAATATTTGATACGATGGTAAGCGTGGGTTAAAATCTTGATTTTAAATTTCAAAGAGGATTGTGCAGAGAATGATACTTTCAGGTAATGTCCTTAACACAGAACAGGTTAAAGGGGTGCGATTCTTTTCTCTGAAGCAGTACATTGCTTGTAACTATCCCGCTCTGAGAGTAGACCTACGACCTGCCTACCTCAAAGTGGCACTGGAGCGTGGTGTCAAGTATGGATACATACAGCTGGTAAGTTTCGATACAGAAGCTGGATAGTAGGTAATATTGTTTTTTTATCCTGATATCACCATACCCCTGTGGTTGTAACTATATTGACTATTAAATTCATATTGGGAACGGCAAGTCAAGTAACTTTGTTAATAATCTAAAACTTTCCAGGTAAGGGGAGTTGGCCTAGCAGGATACTATCGTTTACCCGTGGATGAGGAGCCTGATGAAACAGAAGAGAAATCAGCTGAGAAGGAGGGCGAAGAAGCTGAGGTATTTATGTTAAAACAATCATTGTCATTCTTATATTTTGACCCTGTTACAGGCTTTGTTTTGCAATATCTTTGATGTCCCTTTGTTGACAGAAGTGTCAGTGTATAAACTGTTTTTCTCAGGGGGACAAGGAAAACCAGAATGGAGATGCTGAGGCCCCTGAAGGCGAGAAATCAGAGGAGAATACTGCAGCTGCTGCTGCTGCAGCTCCATCACCCAAGAAAAAAAGTCGTAAGAGAAAGGCTCCTGAAAAAGAAGAAGGAGAAGAAGGAGAAAAAACTACAGAAGGGGAGGGAGATGATGGAGAAGGCAAGAAAAAGAAGAAAAAGAAGACAAAAAGGAGTAAGTGAGAACCTGGGGATGACATGTGCATAGAAATAAAGAAGCTAGAATTAACTGACCATCTGTAGTGAATAGTGCTTCTGGTGTCTGCATAGAGTTGCATCCCTTGGACCTACTTGGGACCTGCGATCATAGATTGGAATCTTGGTTCACTATATATGTTTATAGGTTTGTCAGCATGCTACCCGTGCTTGTAGGTTTCACCTTAGTGGTAAATGTCTCAGGCCTGCACAACTTTAGGAGTTCCTCTAGCACTAATCTGACACTCACCCATTCATTTGTATTTTGATTAATATCCTGGAGTCATGTGTGGAGCATGTGTATAATACCCTGTGTCCATGTGTGTAGCATGTGTATAATAACCTGTGTCCATGTGTGTAGCATGTGTATAATACCCTGTGTCCATGTGTGTAGCATGTGTATATACCCTGTGTGTAATGTGTATAATACCCTGTCTCCATGTGTGTAACATGTGTATAATACCCTGTGTTCATGTGTGTAACATGTGTATAATACCCTGTGTCCATGTGTGTAGCATGTGTATAATACCCTGTGTCCATGTGTGTAGCATGTGTATAATACCCTGTATCCATGTGTGTAATGTGTATAATACCCCGTGTCCATGTGTGTAACATGTGTATAATACCCCGTGTCCATGTGTGTAGCATGTGTATAATAACCTTGATCCATGTGTGTAGCATGTGTATGATACCCTGGATCCATGTGTGTGGCATGTGTATAATACCCTGGATCCATGTGTGTAGCATGTGTATAATACCCTGGATCCATGTGTGTAGCATGTGTATAATACCCTGGATCCATGTTTGTGGCATGTGTATAATACCCTGTGTCCATGTGTGTGACATGTGTATAATACCCTGGATCCATGTGTGTAACATGTGTATAATACCCTGGATCCATGTGTGTAACGTGTATAATACCTTGGATTCATGTGTGTTACATGTGTATAATACCCTGGATCCATGTGTGTTACATGTGTATAATACCCTGGATCCATGTGTGTAACATGTGTATAATACCCTGGATCCATGTGTGTAGCATGTGTATAATGCCCTGGATCCATGTGTGTAACATGTGTATAATACTCTGGATCCATGTGTGTAACATGTGTATAATACTCTGGATCCATGTGTATAGCATGTATCAGGTAGTCATGAAATACTCAAGGTTTTGTCATAGTTTTTTTGACCTTGCTATCACATTTAGATGTAACCATGTTTAGCAACACTTCTTGATATATGAAATATATAAAGTATGTGATAGAAGCAGTGGTGATTCAAAATATTCTGAGCTATTGTTTGACATTGAAGTTCTGTTAGTACAGTGAGCTATGTCTGCAATTATCATTACGATTTATGCATGTCATTGTTTGGTATTCAAATATCTGTCACATACCCTCGTAACTCAATATGCTATTATGGCCTATATGATCTTAAGTTATTACTTCCATGAGCTATATAACCTTTAGTCCTCCCTATGCTACAATACTAAGTGTAATCTGTTCCTCATCTTCCAGGACGGCCAAGACCAGACAGCTACCATGTTGCTCCACTCAAGATTGAAGACACCTTTGCCTTGGCTATGACATACATGTGTGAACCCAAACAGACATCTTTTGGGAAGATTAAGAAGTACATCACCGAGAACTATCCCCACGTAGATACAGAAGCTCCGAGTGAGTTGACTGATTATTACTTCAGCAAGTCATGGGGGCGATGGGGTAGCCTAGTGGATAAAGCATTCACTCGTCACGCTGAAGGCCCGGGTTCGATGGGTACAATGTGTGAAGCCCATTTATGGTGTCCCCCGCCGTTATATTGCTGGAATATTGCTAAAAGCGGCGTAAAACTTAACTCACTCACTCTCACTCAGCAAGTCATGATCCATTTCATGCATTGGACTTCATTGAAAACTTCACCATCATTGCTGAATGACACTTATTACTTAGTGGGACTGTATTTTTTCAAAAATATTTCATTCCTCAGAATTACAAAATGAGAACATTAAAGAGATATTATAATGACTTGCTGGCCACAGGGGACTTGGTTATGAATCCTGAATAAGTCCCTGAGCTTGATTGGGTGGTCACAGTGTGTACCTGGGCTGAGATTGTGGTTGTATTACCAACAATTGTTACCTGCATGTAATACGATCATGTACAGGCCGATATGACATAGTTGAGTTAATACCGTTATTGCTGATTGCAAAATTAGTTCACAAACATATCAATTAACTGTCTCAATGAAGTTGTAAGTGTCTGATGTCCCAAAACATAGTGAATACATATATGCCTGTTTTTTTCGTTATTTTTCTCTCTGAGAGCTTTGTATTGTATTGTAGACTGAAGTCAGCAATGGAGAGTGGCGAGAGGAAGGGCTTTTGGGAACACATCACTGGACAAGGGCTGTCAGGGACATTCCAGCTGATGATCGATGAGTTTGATCCGAACAGCAGTAAGTATCTACGATGTGGACTTTCACAAGAGACAAGAATACTCTCATATCCATATCATCTGCTGTATTAGTTCCTGTTTAGTCTGTACTGATCAAGTCGGGAGCTGACGTTTTTAGTTACACATTAGAGCCTCTGATGATGTAATGGAAGCATCTGTGTACAGCTGTGGAGAACTTATGATAATTTTCCATGGAATACAGTGAACAAAACTCAGTGTTTTCTATGCCAGTGTGTCTGAAAAGATGGCAGACTCTTCTTTTTTTTTGGGGTGCTATATATTATAGATAACTATTCTAACTACTGAGTTTATTAACAGAAGAGAGAGACTTCTGATGCAGTTGTTTCAGTTCAGCAGCAACAGACTGAATTATGTGTAGTACAGAATAAGAATATAAATGTCAGATATATAGAGAATACTAAACGATGTCCTGTGTAATACCATATTTATGAAACGAGTGAAATATTAGCATTGTGACGTCTTAACTGTAAATCATTTTGATGTCATGTACGGCATCATGCGATGTTATTACACAATGTAATAACATTGTAAAAGTTTTAAACAGTCATATCTTCAACGGGTGAGCAATAAATTAGATTTTGATAACATTGAACCCTGTGACACCATTCCAAACAAAGCAAGCAATTTAACAAAATGATCATTGTTTTCAGCTGACAATGTAGAAGACATGATATGTTCTGCCATCATTGCTTGTAACGAGCCCAAGCAGGCATCCTCAAACCTGCTGAAGAAATATGTCATGGAATTTCACCCAGACTTCAATATTCAGTCTAGACCACATCGCTTCAAGATGGCACTTGAAAGGGCTCTTAAAAAACAGAAGATCATGTGAGTTATGGGTGTTCTTTGGTCAGTGGCTCATCCATTGTCAAGCAGAGTTATGCCCCTTAGTTATGTTAAGGTCATTTGCATGTGTTGGGATCTTGAGGTCACTGTGATTATAATCCATGGCCTTTCATCACCATACCCTTGCTGATTGTGTGTTGGTTGGATTTTAAGTGGTAAACATCAATGACTAGAGTCACTTTAGGCTCTCATCAAAATTAACACGTTATTTTGGGATTACACTTTCTCATTGAAGTACAGATTCTAGTACTTTTGTTGGGTTGAGGCCCATTTGTGGAAGCAGAGGTGGCTGAATGGGTTAGATGGCTGACTTTGTGTGCTGGCGATTAAATGCCTGACTCTGAGGGGGTTCGAATACTGGATGGGACTCAACCCAACAAAAGTACTAGAATCTGTGCTGTACTGAGAAAGTGTAAACCCTATAACATGTGTTACATTTGACTACTTTCTAAATGGCATTGTGTGTAATCAAAATTAAGCTGACAGTGTATGCGTAGCTGAAAAACAGGATGTGTTTAACCAAACTCCATTTCAAGTATGCTTGTGGATATTTTCTCCTGTTGTAAACTGTTTGTGGACAAAATTGTAAAAGTACATGTAATATTGGGTACCAGTAGCTAAGTTGATTCAACTTCACATTGCCCAGCCAGTACATATGATGAACCTGTTCCTGTGTTATAGCCAGCTGAGTGGTATTGGTGCAAGTGGCAGCTTCCAGATGTGGTCCCCCTTCACACCCACCCCTAGCCTCCTGGCGGGAGAAGAAGATGACTACGTGGAGGACATCTTCACTGAGAAGCAGGAGATGTACATTCCACGGGGTACAAAGTCTCGGGGTGGTCAGTCTGTACGCAAAGCACCTGCTGACCGGAGTCTGGAAGGAAGACCTAAACCAAAGAAGAGAGCTCCACCTACCAACCGTTCTGCCAGTCAAAAGAGTGAGTAATCAAATGTTTAAGATTTGTCTTATTCTTTTGGGTCGTAGCTTAGGCCATCAAGCAGACTTCAGGTCATTCTATATGAATGAACAGTTATGTATCTGAATTTTGTTCTCACTTTTTTTCACAATTACTGGTGAGTCCATGAAAAATTTATGAATGCCAATTCAGATTTTGTTTTTCAAAATGTATCTTGATATGTTACCATATTTGTAGTCTCCCAGACCCAAGAGAATATATCAAAAGGAGTCGAATTCGAGTGAAGAGTCATTGGACAAGTATGGAGGAAACACAGCTCAGGGCTGCATTTTGATTAGATTTGCTTTATGTTGTATATAAATGTTTGTAAATATGACAAATTTATTTCTGTAATTCTATCATATTTGCAGTGTTTGAAAAACCAGGCTCATTGGTGCTACAGTTGAACATTTTGAATGCACAATAGTTCTCTGGCAGTTAGGGGGATGTAAAACAAGTGTTGCATGTGTGATTTAGAAATCATAAGTATGGTTTTGGTTGATTAAGTAAAGTGAAAGGGTTGTCAGCATGATGCTTTGCAACAGCCTTAGAACACATTCTCTATGTTTATTGCAACAATAATCTCATGTTATAAAAACTGTCTCAGCAAGTAGCATTGTAGTGCTATAGCATTGAGTTGTTCATAATGTAGAAACTGTTGCATATCAATTAAGACCAAGTGATGATGAGGTTCTGAAAACTACAAACACAAACTTTTGAAAGTGTAGAGATATTCAAATTTCAAATTTTCAAATCAAAATTAACTTTCCTAAAGCTTAGATGCAACTGAAAAATATACATAATTAAAACACAGTTATCATTTATTCATGACATATAATGTACATTACTGATAATGAAAAAACAAATAAACAAAATTATAAGTGTACAATTGCAAATCAGAAGTGCAATATATTGTACTTGGGTTTACTTCCCACGAAACGAAAAAGCACACTGGATACCGAACCGAAGTCCTTGTGAGTCAGCAGGTGGTAAATACATGCTAATTTTTGTGTTCATTTTGCAATCAACAAAGTCTTTCATTGGCTGGTTCATTTGCTGATACACTCAGGGCTCGTTGTGTGTGTGTTGGGTTTAGTAAATACATGCTGATTTTTTGTGTATAACATTTTGCAATCAACAGACATCATAACAGGTCATGCATACAAGTATCACACCTGCCTGTCTGTGAAATTTCAACAAAACACTAGAAAAAAAGCTCACATCAAAGCCTACTCCGAGTACTCACTGCCAGCAAATGTTTTCCGTCTTGAAATGTCGAAACCCCTTAACTTTGACACATAGCTGAGTAGATCTAGATCCTGAACAAGGTTCTTTTATGTAACGAGTAGATTATTTTTGTTTGTGTACACAACCAAAACTCCTACCGCCTCCGTGGTGTAGTGGTTAGAGCATCCGCCCGGAGAGCGGAAGGTCACGGGGTATGACCCCCGACCACGTCATACCAAAAGACGTTAAAATATGGTACTTGTTGGTCCCTGCCTGGCGCTCGGCATTAATGGGTACAAGGACTGGTCGGATCGGAGTCAGTATAATGTGTCTGAGTGGGGTATTCATGCTTCACTGCGGCATGGTATTTCAGTGGGCTAGCACTATAAAACCAGCTTCAGTCTGGGCTAGTACAAGCAGCCGCACATACACATACATACGCATGCACGTTGTCATATGAGCGAAATATTCTCAAGCACGACGTTAAACCCATTTTCACCTCACCTCACCAAGACTCCTGCTCACGACCTTATAATTCGGGTATGCCGCTTCGGTATCTTCCCATTATGACTACTCCCAATATGACTACTTATGAACATAAACATATAATGGAGCACCCCTACACTTAATAATGTACTGTACCTGTATAGCTGATTAGGGGCGGTGGGGTAGCCTAGTGGTTAAACCGTTGGCTCGTCACGCCGAAGACCCGGGTTCGAATCCCCACTTGGGTACATTGTGTGAAGCCCATTTCTGGTGTCCCCCGCCGTGATATTGCTGGAATATTGCTAAAAGCGGCGGCGTAAAACCAAGCTCAGTCAGTCAGTCAGTATAGCTGATTACTCCCAGTTTGTCTACTCTTTGATTAGAAGCAAAGTGAATTGTGGATCAGGTGATCATTCATTGTTTGGTTTGAAAATTGGACATGATCCCTCCAACTTCATTTCAAACTATTAAACTTTAAGAACAACTGTGTACTTTTATATTCAAGGATACAATGTTAAAACTACTTTGTACAGTATTTCTAAACCGATCCTAAAATTTAGAACATGCAACCATAAACTTCCCATAGAAACTGATTGGAAATGGAAATGGCAAAATAAGTTCCAAAAAAATATCTACTCTAAAAATGTATCCAAGTTCATTAAGATTGTTTGTAAACACTTTAATTGATGTATCATTTAGTCATCTTGTTGTACATTTTATATGTACTCAATTGTTATACTCATGTAGCACCTCATGGATTATTTTGAGTAAAGAATGAGTGATGATGGTAACAGCACATTGAATAACTCAACAAATAGTGACATTCTCAACTCATTACACCAGTTCATTTCTAAAAGCAACTGCTTCCAGTGATTATCACCTCTACATATATATTCAATGTAAGACAAGTTTTATATAACTTGATTTTCTGCGGCAGCTCATTTCGTTGCTAGGCATAACCAACCCCATAACTAACATATTCATCATTCAGTCATTTTTCTGTTATTTTGTGTCAGTATTCTTCATTTGTTGTCAAATCATTCCAATCATGTATCCAGCTATTGGAACAATGTACTGGAGCAGCATTTATATAAGGCACTAGGCTTGTTCGCCTATATCCAGGCTTCTGCTTTGGCGAAATAAAAATATGTTTACCACCATATTAAAGTACCAGAGTTTCATTGAGCTGTCAATGGCGGACCCATCACAGTGTTTACAAATTTCGTGTCGCTTGTGCTGCCCATAGTTCAAAGTATTATACAGCACAATAACTTCTTTATTCACCTACTATGTGGTGTATATGATATATCGTGTAACTCAGTCTCAGTATATTTGAACTCTTCCACAACAATGACCTATAAAATTAGCTGAAAAAATATTGTATGAAACTGTTACAGCTATAATATGTTTATAAGTGTTGGTGGAACAGTCTACCTGATGGAGGGGAGAGAGCTAGTAATTTAAAACCACTCGACTGGAACAGGTTGTGTATTGGACGGGTAGTCAAACTCGGAGTAGTCATAATGGGAATGAACCTCCGCTTCAAGCTGCACGAACCTATTCACCACGCATGCGTTATGAGCGCAGCGCAGCACAGCTGTTGAAACCACTTTTCACCGCAGCTGGAGGGAATTTAGTGAATCGTTTGAACTCCGATTTCACAGGGTTTTTCCATCGCGTTATTTTTCAACTTTATAAGTTGAATTTGCATTTTTGATAATTTGTTACTGTATGTCAAAGGCATCAGAATCTGCAAAGATGTGTTTTGTGTTGCATGTGACCTTTAAGTCAAATATGCTGTTTTAGATCATTTGTACATAATCTTTTTATAAAGGTAAGAATCAAACATGAGGTTTAAGGTTCAAACCCAGGTTGCTGCTTGAACCTTTGCAGCTTCATTCAAAAACCACATCTGTGAATTTTGGGGGCAGAAGGGGTCAGTCAGTGTTTTGAACAGCGTTTGTGGCTCACTTGTTATTGCAGAAAATATCTGTGTGTATTGCTACTTAATAAGTGTTTAATCCATTATACCAGACACTCAGATTTATGTTGAGATATTGAAATATCATAGTTAAACTGACACTTTAATTGATATGAAATGTGAAACAATGTGTTCTGTGACTACAGTGTATGTCAGTTTCTCTTCAGATTTAATGCAGATATCTAAATATATGCAGTAGAATATATGGCCAGCATTATATTTTTCGTACATTTTGCTGAAACTGAAATTTTGGTGTTTTCTTCAGAGGCAGCCGCTTCCAAATCCAGGTCACCTGCAAAGTCACAATCAAGAAGTCGAGGGAAGGCTAGCTATGCTGAAGATGAAGGAGAAGCGGAAGTTGATGAGGAAGTTGAAGAGGAAGTTGAAGAAGATGAAGGTGAACCTCCTGCAAAGAAGAAGGCAAAGAAAAGTGGCAAAGCAAAGAAGGGGAAGAGCAGTCCTAAACCAAAGAAGAAGACAAAGAAACCAGTCAGCAGGGCCCAGATCACTGATACAGATGAGGAAGGAGATGATGATGAAAGTGAGGCCAAGAAAAAATCAAAGAGTAAGGCACAAACTGAAACTAGTCCACGGAAGTCAAAAGCCCGACCTAGCTATGCTGAAGATGAAGATGGCAGTGAAGATGAAGACAGTGCTCCTCGCTCTAAGGGAAGAAGTAGAGAGTCTTCAGGTGCGGGGAGAAGGTCCAGCAAGGTTAATTATAATGAAAATGAGGAGGAAGAAGAAGATGCAGATAGGCCAGAATACACACCAAGAAAATCAAAATCAAGAGGTGGGGAAGATGATGAAGAGGATGAGCCGAGATCTTCACCAAAGAAAAGAGGAAAGAAACGCCGTTGAGTATTGTACAATCAACAGTCCTACATAATAAACCTAACAGACAAGTTAAGATGTCTTAAGGGTTGAGTCATGATACAACCCAATTGTCTTGTTCAAGGAAATGAAAGTATTTCCCCCCGATCTGAAAGATTTGTATGGATTTGTTTTGCATATGTTGGTACTAAGTATTCTCATGTTTCAAGAAGCAGGAATTTGTTACCATAAAAAATGAATACTTTAGGGCATATTTTTCCCCAACAGAAAAAAACTGCATTTATGTGTAAAAGGTATGATTCTTGTAAAAATAATTTCAGTCAGCTGGTATGTTGGGTTTGATTTCTAAACATTGTTCCATTGAGGCATGTAACATCTTAAGGAGTTTGTTTTTGTAACATGTGTTTACATATTTTTGCCTTTATGAAAGTGCAGATTATTCATCATTGTGTAATGTGATTGTGTAGAGATAATCACAATAACCACAATTCCCCTTTGCCCATTGTACATACCATTTGGCGGGGACTGGACCTGTTTTCATAGGTTTCTCACTCATCAAGCAATTGATTCAATATATATGCTTTCATTTTCCATCATTCCCATATTGACTTTGACTGAAGAAAGCATCATGTTTTACTGCTTGTACAACATTTTAATAATCCATCTCAGAATCATGGCAACAAACCTTGATTTGAATATGACTCTAGACAGAAAGAATCTAGATAAAATGGGCAGCAATTAAATCGCCATCATCGCCGTAAGTCAAAAAGATGTAAACCTAATCCAACAGTAATTCCTGCTGTTCATACATTCAAACATTACTGGTTTAGTTGATAATAATCAGGAAGAATAACTCTAAGTACAACTTTCCTTTAGCATACTTGAACCATATTATTCTGTTTGTATTTATTGAACAATTGTTAGACATTTTGAGTCAGTGAGGAAAAGAGAGAAAAGGTTTGGTGAAGATAATTTTACACCTACCTGTGAAACATAGAATACAATGGCATGTAATGGAGACTGAAGTTTTTGAGTTTCTACTTCATTGTGGTAAGAGTTAGGAAAGGGACTTTAGCTATGGTTAGATTTCATTCTATACTTGCAGGCGATGTGTACTCTAGCCAGAATTGAGTTTTGTACGAATAGCTATTGGTTGTGGACTGTTTTTATTTTGTTTACTGTTAATGATTTTTTAATTTGGTAAATATACTGTTGTATACAACATTCATGCCTGTACTACTTTCATAATTATAAATTTGTTTTAGGTCTTTGCATATAAATCAAAATACTAGTGATTTTGTCACTAGCATTAAATCATCAATTGTGTAAAAAAACTGCATGACTTCATGCTGTTGAAAATTTGATGTACCTCGTCAGATCAGTGTATTGTTGAGTTTCATACTTTTGTTTTAAGATCATTTTAAGGTAGCATATTGTATTAAGGTATAAGGCCTTAAATCAAAATGAGTAACTAAAAGTTTTATTATAAAAACCTGAATAGTTTACTCTGCATATTCTCATGCAGGAAAGATATTTGAATTACTGTGCAAATATATGTATTGTGCAAATGAAAACAGTACATGCTGGTGAAGAATGACCAGTACAAAAAGAATGTATTGTTGCAAATTTTACAAGGTTTCATGGAATGTGGGAGAAATACCAATACTCCTTGCACCATGACTGTATAGATGAATGCCTGGACTGTTGTTTGTGAAGCATGTATGTTATAGACATTTTACTAGACTCTACACCAGTGTGTTGACACACAGTTTTTATTTTACATTCAAAACTATCAGCATTTGGAAATTTAGACCTACACTGCTGAATCTATCTGTTATGAGCTATTTTTCCTTGAATACTGAGATTAATGAAGCTTGTTTGATAATGACATCAGTCTTGATGTTTTTGAAGAGGAGGGCTTGATTTCTACTGAGAATATATATTGTAGTTAAATTCCTAAAGTGCTCCCAAAATGCTCCCAGTTAGAGCAGTATTACCCAGGGTGCAGGATGTTCCCATTGTCGTCCAATACACTTTTAGGACGGGACTAGTCTATCCTAGCTGTCTGTGAGTATTGGAGACATGTTATATATATATGAAACAATAATGGCCAAAACATGTTTGCCTGAAACCGGTGAATCACATACAAGATCTAGACACATCATCATGCTTCCTGGAAAAATTTATGTTAAGAAAATTTAAGTGAGTTAAAATTTATTGTTGTATCAGCAGTTTCTGTCATCAGGTGACACCTACTGTAACTTCACTTGGGTAAATCCATAGCCAAATATAATGTAGCCTATATGTTATCATTATTATGGAAGAATGAATAAATGGATATGAATTACAATGTATATTATTTTCACAGGATCAGTTTTTGATTGTATGGATAATAGTTGTCATCATTCAACTTATTCAGCAGAAGACAGGACATTAATTGTATGTTGTGCTTTGTAATCAGCCCCATGTCTCCTTCACTTAATATTATAATGACCCATATTTGCATTGTTCATGGTGTTGTAGATACTAATAACAACAGTGTATCTTCTGCATTACCTTATTACAGGCAATAAGAGTATCCTGGATGTTACTGTTTACTTAGCATGTGCTCTCATGTGTAAGCACATGGGGCTATTGTGATATTATGTGTAACAGTATGATTCTGGGATGGGCATTCATTCTCACAGTTTACCTTGCTTTCTTCACGGGCTTCTATTAGAGGGTTCGCTGTATTACGAAAGACTCGCATGTTGCCAACTGTATCCACATGGTTGTTGCATTGACATGAATATTCATTTTGTCTATCGGTAGTTGGCCTGTATTTGCATCATAATAGTCATATAATCATGCGTTCACAAAGAGGCTTTTGTATTGAAAAAGCTGTACACCAAATATGGAGCCATAGCCTAGGCCAGTTTATCTTTTATACTGTATTTTGTTCTGTGGCATTTGGAAATTTTGTGTACATTGAAAAATAATCATGTCCATGTAAAACTTAGATTTTAGATTTTTACCTATTTGTGTTGTCTTAACACTGGTCAGTGGCATTTTGTTGAGAACGTGGTCCAAAAGTGTTCCATGTAAGGTGCTTTTTGACGATGACAACAGCTTTTGAAGATGTCATACTCCATAATTATATGCATTTATCTTGTGTTCACATCATTGCCACAATAAACTGTCTTTTCAGTGCAGTTATAGTGTGTTACTTGTATAGTTTGTTTGCAGTGAAAACGTACTGATGAATTTTTAATTTAAACAAAAAAAGTAAATCGAATAAAGTGAAATTAAGATTGGGAATACTCATAATTTTATCTTGCCAACTGAACATTTAAATCTCAGAATTTTATTCAACTTAGGATAAAAGTTGTTTAACAAACGATTATAGTTTGAAATCGCTATTATTAGTTTGTGTTACAAGGGGGTATGCACATTAAATAAAACACCGAGAACAAGTAGAGTTGGTCTAAGTTAAAGGTCATCACGAACAGCACGTGCATTTGTTTCACCCCCTTGTAATACAAACCAATAATAGTGATTTGAATGTATGATCGTATGTTAAACCTTTATCCTAAGATGAGTAAAATTCTGAGATTTAAATGTTCAGTTGGCAAGGTAACATTATGAGGATTTGCAATCTTAATTTCACTCTATTTGATTAACTTTTTTGTTTAAAGTGAAATTCATCGGTACGTTTTCACTGCAAACAGACTATAGTTTGGAGTGCTGATTGTACAGGGGTCAAATGTTTTCAAAGTAATTACCACTGGTACAATTTTATAGATTCCTTTTCCACTTGGGTATGGATCCAGTATCTATTCCTATAGAGGCAAAACTCATATCATATGATCTAAGGGAAGTAGAACTATGTGTATCAAATGGTCTTGTTGTCAGGGTACGATGACATGCAATCAAGTCCATGACTATGACACCAGACCTATTATGTCCCCTCAGACAACCAGCAGAGGCTGGAGGTGACCAACGCCTGAAACCTGCACATGCTGCAAGATGACCACCCCTTGCAATCCCCATGTGCTGCAAGATGACCACCCCTTGCAATCCCCACATGCTGCAAGATGACCACCCCTTGCAATCCCCATGTGCTGCAAGATGACCATCCCTTGCAATCCCCACATGCTGCAAGATGACCACCCTTGCAATCCCCATGTGCTGCAAGATGACCACCCCTTGCAATCCCCATGTGCTGCAAGATGACCACCCCTTGCAATCCCCATGTGCTGCAAGATGACCACCCCTTGCAATCCCCATGTCCTGCCAGCCAGCCATCCCCTGGAATCCCCACGTGGAGAAACGACCAACACCTGGAATCCACAATGCTGACCGACTACTACTGGCTGGAATCCCTACATGCAGAGAAACAACCAACACCTGGAATCCACAATGCTGACCGACTACTACTAGCTGCAGACCAACACCTGAATCCACAATGCTGACCGACTACTACATGACAGGACTACTACTGGCTGGAATCCCCACATGTGGAGAAACGACCAACACCTGGAATCCACAATGCTGACCGACTACTACTGGCTGGAATCCCCACATGTGGAGAAACGACCAACACCTGGAATCCACAATGCTGACCGACTACTACTTGCTGGAATCCCCACATGTGGAGAAACGACCAACACCTTGAATCCACAATGCTGACCGACTACTACTGGCTGGAATCCCCACATGTGGAGAAACGACCAACACCTGGAATCCACAATGCTGACCGACTACTACTGGCTGGAATCCCCACATGTGGAGAAACGACCAACACCTGGAATCCACAATGCTGACCGACTACTACTGGCTGGAATCCCCACATGTGGAGAAACGACCAACACCTGGAATCCACAATGCTGACCGACTACTACTGGCTACTGGCTGGAATCCCCACATGTGGAGAAATCCACCAACACCTGGAATCCACAATGCTGACCGACTACTACTGGCTGGAATCCCTACATGTGGAGAAACAACCAACACCTGGAATCCACAATGCTGACCGACCCACTACTGGCAACACCTGGAATCCCCACATGTGGAGAAACAACCAACACCTGGAATCCACAATGCTGACCGACTACTACTGGCTGGAATCCCCACATGTGGAGAAACGACCAACACCTGGAATCCACAATGCTGACCGACTACTACTGGCTGGAATCCCCACATGTGGAGAAACACCTGACCAACACCTGGAATCCCCACAATGCTGACCAACTACTACTAGCTGAATCCACACATGTGGAGAAACCAACCAACACCTGAATCCACAATGCTGACCGACTACTACTAGCTGAATCCCCACATGTGGAGAAACGACCAACACCTGGAATCCACAATGCTGACCGACTACTACTGGCTGGAATCCCCACATGTGGAGAAACGACCAACACCTGGAATCCACAATGCTGACCGACTACTACTGGCTGGAATCCCCACATGTGGAGAAACAACCAACACCTGGAATCCACAATGCTGACCGACTACTACTGGCTGGAATCCCCACATGTGGAGAAACAACCAACACCTGGAATCCACAATGCTGACCGACCACTACTAGCTGGAATCCCTATGTACTGACATAAGACCAGTGACATGAAGGCTCCATCAGTCTGTGATCAGTTCAGGTTATAATAGCAAGTACACACAAACAAAAAAATCAAAGCATTTTATTTAAGTTACTGTGTCAGCATATTCACACAATTTGAATGCATACTGTGGTTTTCCAAACTCTGAATGTGGAGTATGTGAAAAGTAAATACCTTCACAAAGAAATCTAGTAGAACACCCACGACAAAAAAAAGTAGAAAGAAATGGATCAAGTAGAAATTCACAAACTTAAGGTAACAACATTAAGGACTGAAAAGTAATGAGCCAAAATTAATTCCAATTCTAATGCGTTTGATTTTTGCTCATGCCATTCATATGGCCATATCCCTCACTTTGGTAAATGTTATGGCACCATTCCACACAGCATAGACAAGTCATGGTAATGAACATGTATGGTGAGTCAGAATGATTATAAATAACCTGATTATCCCTATCACAAGCTGAGTTGTCTATCTAGTTTGAATATTTCCATATTGATATGTCATCAAAACAATATGGCTTCCTGGGGAATAAGGGAGATAATGAGGTAGGCATACATACAAGTTTTGCACCTGTTTGTGTTGGATGTCTTTGTTACATTACTGGTCTGGAAATGCTTGGATTATTAATAAATCACCTCCGAGAACATATCTTTTTTTGCAAGGATTTCTCTTTTCAATGTGGGAAAATATATGTTTTTTACCCATGTACAAGCTATTCTTACCTCAGTTGGCTTCATGTTTAGTGCCAGAAAATGGGGATGCAATGAATCCTTGAAACAAAACATGTTTTGTCACCACGTAAGATGTCAACTGCCACTAAAGAAGAGAATCCTCTTTCTGAAATCTTTCCAGACAAAGGTTGGCAATGTACCCATCACTTTCAAAGAGACTTTCCCAACTCGTATTAATTTCATCAAAACATGGATAGTGTCCTGTCACCGCTGCTAGCTCATTAGCTGGCTATATATTGAGGTTCATTGATTTACAGACTAAGGATCAGCAGCAGGGTAGAATCTGGAATCAAACCAACATCCAGCATGACTGTGACGTGACTCTTAAAGCAATTCCCTGCTTCAGGCAACTAGGCATCCGTGCATGCTTGGACCCAATTCCGCAAAGCACTGTTATTCCAGAGACCATCTTAACTCTCATTCTTGAACAGACTTTGGCACTGAGATCTGTTTGTGGAACAGAGCAGGGTTTTACACAGACTTTTAAAAATGGGAGTCATGGTGAATCACAATATTTATTTTTGGGAGTCATTTTCAATATTTGGGAGTCATGAAATCCTTATGTTAATCATTCTCAGTATGTAACTGTATGTCACACCACCAAATAAAACTACAGCATTGTTCAATTCACACAGCCAGGATTACTGTTTCCTCTGAGTACTCTGGAATAATCTGACAGCTCTAAAAGTCAAACTATCATTGAACAATATCTTTTTTTTTGCTTATCAAATCGATTTTATTGAACTGAATTGTGAGGGCCATCCATAAAACTTTCGTCAAGCTTGACTTGTATGATAATATTTTGAGTCATGTACAAAATTGTTGCGTCAAATACGCAGGAATCACGCGTCATGTAAAACCCTGACAGAGTCCTGCACTGTCAGTAATATGATTGTTCAGGCATATCAACAGAACACATCTTAATTATAAATACTGCAGCCATCCTGCTACAAGATATACAATCTATTTACTAAATGAATACTTTCAAACAGACAAAATGTTCCCACTCAACTGTCTCCATAGAAGCCTAAATTGCAATGATGTCTTGAACTTTCTATCAGTGTTTTATATAGTTAGTTGTCTTACTCAAAAGACAAAATTAGGTATGGAAGTTGGAATTGACATGAAAAAGAAAATTCCACACTTGACAAATATTGAATGCAACAGCTTCAGCTCAACCCCATCTTCATACATTCACCTACAACACTTCTTGAAATTACCCCTCAGTGACAAGGTGCAGTATGATGCGAGGAAGACAAGGTGCTCAGTGACATCTTGTAGGATGTACAGGAGTTACTTCCCTTCCCTGATTGAACCACTGCAATTTGGACCAGACATTGTAGGCAAGACAACTGTTCTTAAAATTGATATTGTACTCGTATTTGTGAAGTGTTAAGTTGAAGGATCCCCACCATAAACAATACATATGCCATTCACCCTTCCTTATTCAGTGACAGATTTCTCCAGTCATGATGGACGTCCAAGACCCATTACCCACCATGGCTTCCTCTTGATCAGGTTCATGTACCACAACCCTATGGGCAGCCATCATGTCACATTGTCCTTCATGGTGACAACAAGCAGTGATATCGCTAAGTATCACTCTCTCTCCCTTTCCAGGCACTGAGGAATACATCAGACTAGAAACTCTTTAATACATTTGTTAGAAATTTTATTTTAAACATACTGAAGACAAGGTGACTTGATTGGTGATGAGCAAGAGAAATTCAGTGTTACTTAGTTACAAGACAGAAACAGCGATGTCAGTTATAAAATAAACTACAGCATTGAATGTGTCCCGAGCATTCATCAGGAAGAATGGACGACATTGGATAACATAGAGTGTCCGACATTAGAGGCTTAACAGGCTAGGGAAATAGACATAGTAGACAAACCTTGTTTAAATACTACATAACAAACAGCATCATGTCACAAAGTGCATGTAAAATCTCCAAAAAAATCATCATCAAACTGTACAGATACAGCACTTGGTAGACAACTGATTTCTTTGTGGGACTTCTCCAGACATCACACTATCCATGTGACAGACAAAGTATTTTTAACAAGAAGTACAGTCATATTCACAAACATTTAAAAGTATTCAAAAGACTGCCAAGAAATCATGCAGGTATCTAATGGCATGTATTTCAAAGATATTTATTTGGGAAACAACTACTTCTGAAGGTTTTCCAGGAGATCCTATCATGTATGAACACACGCAAAGGCCAAGACAGTGTAACAGCTGTGCCCCAGTGTGGCCACCATGTACCTGGTGTTGTCATCATATGCTTTCATTATATTTGAAAGCTTCAATTCATTGATAATCTAGAAAATTCAAGAAAAAATAATTACTTTCCATGCAAAATATGTCCTATTTTCAGTTACCAATGTCACTTAAATGTTTGTGCAGGAGATACATGTGTGTGTCCATGCACACTTACTGCTTCTTGCTTGACTGCCACATGGCATAAAGTCAATGAGCTCAACCTGCTCCTCCTACTGGGTACCCAGATACTGCTGAGTGAGTAGCTATACCCTTTAACTGACTAGCCAAAGGAGGCACCAGGCCCCAATTTACAACCCGTTTCAGAGTGGACACATGTGCCACACAGCAAATTGGGGGTGTTAAAACAAAATCAGTTTACAGATTAAAACAGTAAAATAAATAAAAATATAAAAATGAACAAATCAATAAGGTAAAAAGCCCCCTGTTCGCCTCCTAACATGCATATGTTGGATAAAACTGTAAGACAATCACCGTCTATCAAGAATCTCCTATTACTCATAACACCTCTCCCTCACATGTCGGAAATGGAACAGTACAAGTGAACCAACGTGTATTTTGTACACCATACATAACCGAACCATGTAGCCTTGTATCACAAGGAGACATGATATTAGCAAGGTGGTCACTGTATGGAGCACTGGAGGTTCACATGGATAATCATGGATAAACAGTGTTGGAACATTAGAGGAATACAGAATTCATAGCTACATGTTGCTTTCATAGGAAATGTAGAGGCCATCAAATTGGTAAGACTAACCCAAACTGGACCCCAATGACAGGGGCGTCACGATACGTCTACCAATACATGACATGGAAGTGACAGAATTGTATGTAACAGAATACATCACTTGTGCAATATCTCATGTAATTCCCCATGTGGTACATGTAGCTCCAGATTGTTGCTCTACATGATTGGTCAATGTAGACACGTCCACACAGTACTGTGCAGTTTGTTTTGAAATAAGCAGTAAGATAAAATGATTCACATACATATGATGCAGGCTTACAGCAAAACGTAGAATATAATATATAAATATATGGATCCAGATATAAGACAATATATACACAGTAAAAAAAGTGTTGCACCCCCATATTTAAACTCTGGTTACGTTGGCATATCCAAAACACCCGAATAGGTTGTTGATGATAACCATTCTGCAAGGATTTGGTGTTGAAGTCATTAATGTTTTCGTAGTGAAAACGATCTCTAAAACGTAGCAGCCTGGACGTGAATATCATTCTTCATGATTTTTGCAAATTGCAGTATGCTCATGTGATGAATCTCGCCTATAAAAATTGTTGTTCTGGCCGTTGAATCCATTGTAACGCAGCATGCCGAGTGCGAGAAAAGCAGATGCAGTCAAGTGGCAGATTATTGGACTCCATAGGGAAGGTCTTTCCTTCAAGGAGATTGGCAGAAGAACCGGGCGTCATTACTCCACAATAAGCCGCCTGGTGAGAAAACATGCGCAGACTAATGATGTAAAGAATCGCAGACCTTCAGGCAGACCACGTATAACCACAGTCAGGGATGACAGAGCATTGCTAAGGCTGGTAAGGCGACAACCCTTTGTTTCAAGAGCAACCCTGAAACGCCAATGGCTTCCTCATCGTCAGATCAGCCACCAAACAGTGAGAAATCGACTCAAGGCCGCTGGATTGAGTTTCAGAAGAGTCATCAAGCGCCCCCAACTCACAGAGAACCACAAGAGGTTACGTCTAGCCTGGTGTAGACAGACACAAGGGTGGAACTTGAGGTCTTGGAGAAGAGTCCACTGGTCAGACGAGAGCAGATTTCTTCTGCATGTTGTGGATGGCAGAGTCAGAGTTTGGAGGTGTCTGGGTACAGCTTATGCACCTAGGCACATCATGCCGACGATACCATATGGAGGTGGATCGGTTATGGTATGGGGTTGCTTCTCATTTGACTGTAAGCTGGATCTAGTGACCATACAAGGCACTTCAACGGGCGATCGCTACATTCAGGAAGTGCTTGATCCAGTTGTTGTGCCCCATTTTGACAATCATCGACTTGCAACCAGGCCAATATTCATGGATGATTATGCTCGGCCACATCTTTCACGAGCTGTGACCCAGGTCATCCAGAACAATGCACTGACTCACCTCCCATGGCCAGCAATGAGTCCAGATCTCAATCCCCTGGAACACATATGGGACATTTTGGGCCGTCTGATACAAGGCAGGGATCCTCCTCCACAGAACGTTTGGGAACTGGAAGCAGCTTTGCACGAAGAGTGGCAGCAGCTGCCCATAGAGCGCATTTCGACGCCTGGTGAGGGGTATGAGACCTAAGACTGGAAGCTGTTATCCAAGTACTGGGCGGAAGTTCACGATATTGACTGTTTGTGTTTGTCCACTCTCTGTATGTCAGTTTCAGCCTAAGAGAAGTTTTGTTTTGACATTAAATTTCCATTTTTTACCATACTTAAAACCGTCTCGTTTTCCTTGAATTTGAATGCAATACTTAAGGGCAAGATCCTTACATACCATGAGGTCAGGGGATACCCCATCTCAGTTCATTTAATAGGCACAAGACTGGTTTGTTGGTGTATGCACCATTCAGGTTCTAATTCTCATTCTGATATCGCTCAGTTACGCCAAAAGCATCATACCCCGGAAAAAAGATAGGGGGTGCAACACTTTTTTTACTGTGTATACATAAATATGAGTATTATCAAGGGTGCTATTGTTGTGTGTACACTGCAGAGTAGTGCTACATCACAGAACACTGACACCCCGGACAAACAATAAAACAAACTGTAACTGTAACTTATTAAAACCTGTGCACACCTGCATACATTGGTCACAGACTCATTACAGCATCTGCAGAAATTTGACATGTCAATCAGTCTGAAGACCATATACTGACATGCTGTCTCTGATCAATAGAATGTTCATGTCACTCCTGATTACAACGCTGTAATCAATACTTGAGCCACTGATTCACTGTCGGTATGGTCCCAACATGTCCAGGTGGAAGGTCAGAGGTCATTATTCCTTATGAACCTGTTTCCTTCCGAGTGGCGACCATAATATATATACTTGCTCTTTCCAAAGGTTCCTGAAAGGAGAAAGGCACAGTAAAGTATCATAACTTTGGGACATAGTAACACTTTGTTGTAAATATTCAGGTAATTACAGGACCAACATGGAGAACGTGATGCGAGGTGAGGCAGAATCTTCAGACTTCCAGTAGTGAGGGGGCGGTGGGGTAGCCTAGTGGTTAGCTCATGAAGACCCGGTTCAATCCCCACATGGGTACAATGAGTGAAGCCCATTTCTGGTGCCCGTGATATTGCTGGAATATTGCTAAAAGCGGCGTAAAACAAAACTCAGTCAGTCAGTCAGTCCAGTAGTGAGCGGTGATGGGCTAACACTGCCTTGAACAGTGGTCCAGTGTTATCACAGCATGTTAGCTTAATGTGGTCGGAAAGCCAGAAGTAATGCAAGTGTTAGGCTTTGCCGTTTAAGTGGAAGTCACAAGCCATGGTGCTGATATACCTATAAACAACGAGGGCCAGGATTCGAACCCACAATCATACGTTTCTAGTATGACCAAGGATCACAACTCTGCAGTGCCAAGTTTTGAATCTGGGATAGTTGTACCACCGGTGCCGCCAATATTTTCCCATTGTATCAGTCTAAGTAAACTTAGGCTCAGTATTATTCATTACACTGCTATACTGAGACTAACAAAACCTTGTGGAAGGTCGCGTCAGCTGACCTTTTCAATGGACCAATCAGAACACAGCTTACCAAATCGCGAAAGTTGACATTCGCACAGACATACCTTTTGAACTTTACCTCGAAAAAGTTTTGTACCCCAACGATTCCGAATGCTATTTTCCGTACGATCGCTTCCGAGTGATGCACATGGAGCATGCCACAAGAGCGAGTAAACAGTCGCTGATAATAGCGTTTTGTCAGTATTCAAGGATGTCAGCTTGCGGAAATATTAGCTAATGATAGCCATGTTAACAGAAACCCCAAAGCGTATATTCTGCAGGTCATATATCTGTGTTTCATACGGATTTTCATTTGTTATGAGATCAGTGTTGGCGACCGGGGAAGAGAAAATCCATTTGTAAGTCGCGCCAAACCCTAAATAGTAGCCGTTGTCTGATTGGTTAAATCTGTTCGCCATCTCGCGTTTGATTGGACGGTCATAGGTCGCTCAAAGGTTACCTGACGCGACCTTCCACTCAGTATAGCAGTGTAACGAATAATACTGAGCCTAAGTTTACTTAGACTGCTATTGTATATTACAATGCCCCACTTTAGTGTCGTAGTACAATCCACGTCAGGTTGAAGGTATGCACCAATCTGGTGAAGCTTACGAGGGTTGAAGTTTCCCCTGACCATGCCCTACCTACCTGCATGTTGGTCTGGGTCCCGGGCCTTCTGTGGTAGAGGAGTGTAGCCAGACTGATCATCATCAGGCGAGGAGGAGCCCAGCTGAGACAGTCAAACATGAAAATATTGAAAATCACATTAAAAACTCCTTATCAAATTGGGGTCATTAGTTGGGAAAAGCGTGTACAGTCTCAAATCAAGTGGTCAAACGTCAACACTCTTGCAGCAAGAAACAACATAGAAATTCAGCCAACCTGAAATATTGATAAACGCCAACCATCGTGAGCTGCACTGACATGAAGTCACAGATAAGCTACCAGCATTCACACTATTAGTGTAAAACAAAGAAACCATTTGTTTTTACAAAAATTACAAAGAATATGTGGATAATTACACAACCTGTTTCATAAGAACGCTCTCTTAATGCAGAGTCAAACCTATGAATGCCACGTGCATGTACACAGTGTATGAAATGAGCCAAAATATAACAGGCAGACATCAGGGCTGATAACTTCAAAATGTTACCAGCCCAAAATGGATTTAACCAGAACAGTCAATCCAAAGAAAATTATTCAGATGTATTGAACATGTTATCTAGAATTTTTACCAGACCATCGAGCTGGCAAGCTATAAATGTAGGCCGTCCGTCAGAAATGTAGCCCGTCTTGGCCGGTTGGACGGGCCTTATTTCATACACTGATGTACAGAGTGATCAGACCCATGAGTACATCTTGGTCTACATGCTGCTGCACTGTTGCCTAATGTACCTTGTCACAAAACACATGAACACCATTTGGATCAGATCCTTCACTTCCTTGTTCAGTATGTTCAGAGATTCCCTTAGCCAGCATTTAACATGTGTTAATTGAAACATAGTAACATTTTAGCTCATTCTTTTTCTTGCTGTCAAGGTTGATGACCTTTCAGTGACTAAATACTTCATAGTAAGTCTTTCCTCACAAATTCTTTCATCTCCTTATTTTAACGTAATTATTATTTTGTCAATGTTCATTTGTTTCCCAAACCCTAAGGTGAGACATGAACTCACGGCTTTCCCCACTACCAACTTCAACAGTATTGTACGGACCTCCTGTGAGTTCTGCAGCCTGACAACCCTCATGAAAGGCCCCACTCTCTCTGCTTCTGTTATTTCACTTGATTTGACAGCTGTGGAGTCCAGGAACTTGAGTCCGGGAAGCTGATACAGCACAAAGAACCTGTAGGAATGGCAACAACCCCTGTAGGAATGGCAACGACCCTATACGAATAGTAACGACCCCTGTAGGAATGGCAAGAGACCTTTTAGGTATGGCAACAACCCCTGTAGGAATGGAAACAACCCCTGTAGGAATGGTAACAACCCCTGTAGGAATGGTAACAACCCCTGTAGGAATGGCAACAATACCTGTAGGAATGGCAACAACACCTGCAGGAATGGTAACAACCCCTATAAGGATGGCAACAACCCCTGTAGGAATGGCAACAACCCCTGAAGGAATGGCAACAACCCCTGTAGGAATGGTAACAACCCCTGTAGGAATGGAAACAACCCCTGTAGGAATGGCAACAAACACTGTAGGAATGGAAACAACCCCTGTGGGAATGGCAACAATACCTGAAGGAATGGCAACAACCCCTTTAGGTATGGTAACAACCCCTGTAGGAATGGGAACAACCCCTGTAGGAATGGCAACAACCCCTGTAGGAATGGCAACAATACCTGTAGGAATGGCAACAACACCTGCAGGAATGGTAACAACCCCTGTAGGAATGGCAACAAACACTGTAGGAATGGCAACAAACACTGTAGGAATGGCAACAACCCCTGTAGGAATGGAAACAACCCCTGTGGGAATGGCAACAACCCCTGTAGGAATGGCAACAAATGCTGTAGGAATGACAACAACCCCTGTAGGAATGGTAACAATACCTGTAGGAATGGAAACAACCCCTGTAGGAATGGCAACAAACACTGTAGGAATGGAAACAACCCCAGTGAAAATGGCAACAATACCTGAAGGAATGGTAACAACCCCTGTAGGAATGGCAACAAACACTGTAGGAATGGCAACAACCCCTGTAGGAATGGAAACAACCCCTGTGGGAATGGTAACAACCCCTGTAGGAATGGTAACAACCCCTGTAGGAATGGCAACAAACACTGTAGGAATGGCAACAACCCCTGTAGGAATGGAAACAACCCCTGTGGGAATGGCAACAACCCCTGTAGGAATGGCAACAAATGCTGTAGGAATGACAACAACCCCTGTAGGAATGGTAACAACCCCTGTAGGAATGGCAACAACCCCTGTGGGAATGGCAACAACCCCTGTAGGAATGGCAACAAATGCTGTAGGAATGACAACAACCCCTGTAGGAATGGCAACAACCCCTGTAGGAATGGAAACAACCCCTGTGGGAATGGCAACAACCCCTGTAGGAATGGCAACAAATGCTGTAGGAATGACAACAACCCCTGTAGGAATGGTAACAACCCCTGTAGGAATGGAAACAACCCCTGTGGGAATGGCAACAACCCCTGTAGGAATGGCAACAACCCCTGTAGGAATGACAACAACCCCTGTAGGAATGGTAACAACCCCTGTAGGAATGGCAACAACCCCTGTAACAACCCCTGTGGGAATGGCAACAACCCCTGTAGGAATGGCAACAAACCCTGTAGGAATGGCAACAACCCCTAGGAATGGGAACCCCTGTAGGAATGGCAACCCCTGTAGGAATGGTAACAACCCCTGTAGGAATGGTAACAACCCCTGTAGGAATGGAAACAACCCCTGTAGGAATGGCAACAAACCCTGTAGGAATGGAAACAACCCCTGTGGGAATGGCAACAATACCTGAAGGAATGGCAACAACCCCTTTAGGTATGGTAACAACCCCTGTAGGAATGGAAACAACCACTGTAGGAATGGCAACAACCCCTGTAGGAATGGCAACAATACCTGTAGGAATGGCAACAACACCTGCAGGAATGGTAACAACCCCTATAAGGATGGCAACAACCCCTGTAGGAATGGCAACAACCCCTGTAGGAATGGTAACAATCCCTGTAGGAATGGTAAAACAACCCCTGTAGGAATGGCAACAAACCTGTAGGCAACAAATGGCAACAAACCCTGTAGGAATGGAAACAACCCCTGTAGGAATGGCAACAACCCCTGTAGGAATGGCAACAACCCCTGTAGGAATGGTAACAACCCCTGTAGGAATGGTAACAACCCCTGTAGGAATGGCAACAACCCCTGTAGGAATGGCAACAACCCCTGTAGGAATGGTAACAACCCCTGTAGGAATGGCAACAAACCCTGTAGGAATGGCAACAAACACTGTAGGAATGGCAACAACCCCTGTAGGAATGACAACAACCCCTGTAGGAATGGTAACAACCCCTGTAGGAATGGCAACAACACCTGTAGGAATGGCAACAACACCTGCAGGAATGGTAACAAACACTGTAGGAATGGTAACAACCCCAGTATGGATGGAAACAACCACTGTAGGAATGGCAACAACACCTGTAGGAATGGCAACAACACCTGCAGGAATGGTAACAAACACTGTAGGAATGGTAACAACCCCTGTATGGATGGAAACAACCACTGTAGGAATGGAAGTGACCCCTGTATAGATGAATGTATGTCCCAGCCAATCAGAATCTCCGTCAGGTATGATAACAGAATTAACCTGTCCACAGCCCTCCCAGTCATTACTGAACAACTGCCTCTGACGTCATTGACCTCAAATCGGCTCAAGACAAGGACAGATATTATGGGTGTTGTCTGCCCCATTTACTTGATGATATATGATTCATGGCCTTATAAACATATTGTATATGTTGTGATTTGTTTCAGCAATACTCTACACAATGGTGGCTACTGAGGAATAGATCTGGACCATCTGCATGTCCCAGCCTGTCTGATCGTCAGTATTAACCCATACAAAATACAAGTAAATACCGCCTCCACCATCAAGAACAGTCTACATTACTTAACCATCTGCACTTTTCAGCGGCGTCTAAATAACATGTGTTAACATGGGTCCGAGTTAACCAGTGGTTGACAACAACGATGCACGCTATCCAATATCATGATCCAACAGCCTAGAGTGCAGCACCTGTATCTCTGATAGTCCTCTTCATCCTTATCGGAGCAGGAGAGCTGGTTTGGACAAGCTGTGTTACCAAGGAGACTCAGGTAGGTCAGTTGTGGAAGCTGAGATTTTAAGTTATCTAGAAGCCCATCTAGGTTGGTAATCTGAAATATACAGAAGATGGTGGCTACATCAACTTCAAGACATGTTAATTATTGCAGTTAGAATGTTTTTGTTTTCCAGATATCCAAGTTATATTTCAAGCAATTTCTAGGTTTAACAGCACATTGTTGTCACGTTGTATGAGGGATGAGTGTCCTGAAAGTTTGAAAATTTTACTATAAATTGTATATTTATATACTTATCCTATCTCACGGTATGCACCTCTCTTCTTCTTCTATGACCATGTGTGGAAACGGGCTGTAGGCTAAGTTGAATCAAATCTTACTGGCCTCTGACCCCCCTGACCTCTGCCCTCACTCCGACACCAGTACCTGTCAATCATCTCCATAAGGGTGCAGCTCGCTCAGATGATCATTCTCGTCTTGGAGCTTCCAGTAATCTGTGATGTGGGGCAGGTCGGGTGGGTATCCATCGCGTGAGATAGGATAAGTATATAAATATACAATTTATAGTAAAATTTTCAAATTTTTAAACTTATCCTATCTCACGGTATGCATAATCCCACGGTTGGTTGGAGGGCCGCAGATTACCCTGTCAATACTTACAACCGTGAAGAGGCCAGGAGAAAGCACCAACTCCCGATATGCAAACGCCAAACTTGTGATGGGTTTCTTCAGGTAACCCCTTGGCTTACACAGCACAAAAACTCTAGGGAGTGGGCGCTCCAACATCAGCCGCAACTTTTGACAAGCAAAAAGACGCAGTTAGGCAAGTAGGCCCCACCACCCCGCAATTTATCAGGTGACCCCAGTGAATTAAAGTCGAAGACCTTAATCTGGCCAGTCCCTGCTTCGAAACTACAACCCACAGACACGCGCTGGAAGGCGGTGAAAGAGGGAATAGCCTGGTTGCTCAACTAGTTTAACGTTCAGTACCAATCCCCCTAACTTACCAAAGGTGAGAATGGACTTAGGAGCAGAACGCTTCGAAAACCATGTAGGTAATCGGAAATCAACACTTCACTGACGTAATTGCTCAAAGAGTGGAGGTCAGTAAGCGGAATGTCGACCATCTCTGCATGTAGCACAAGACATCGATACCTTTTATTATGTACAGAGCAAAATCGACCAAAGAAGGATTGCTTTATCTGCGAATGTGGGCCGATGACAATTGCTGCGCCAGGATGTGGGGGCCGAATTGATGTAGACCTTCCACGTCTGTAACCGAGAGATCCCACAGGTAGTGTGAGGCGAACAAAGATCGGGGCCGGACCCCGGAGTCGATCGCAAGTTTCTGGAGTAAGGTGTCTATTGTGGATCGAAGAACAGCTGTTTGCTGAGCGGGATACGTACTCTGATCCGGAAGCAAAGTCAGAGGAGGATCCCCAATGATCGGCAGCTGAAACCCCTTGGACAACGTGGAGAGGACGTAAGGGTTGCCCAAGATGGTCCAGTTGGGAACATAAGTCCCAAGTCTTCCGCCTACTGGGGAGGTCTGGATAGGCACGACTGGAGGAGGAAGAACCCAGTTGCGCTCTAATGTCAGCAAGTCACTGTTTGTCAGGTCTTTGAGAGGAGGACTGGTCGGAAGTAGAAGCTGGTCGTGAAGCAGTGAATGCACGATGCTGACGACTGGAACTTCCTCTGCCGGAACCCTTTCCACGAAAGGAAGCAGCGGAACCTGAACGAAGGTCCGGATTGGAAGGAACATAACGGGCTGTCCGTCACTGGCACAAGGAGTCCTCCACCTGCAAACGTTGGAATGTCAACAATTCCACTGACACTTGTAAATGAACATCTTGACCAACTCTGGTGGCGACATCTCTAATCACCCCGTTGAAAAGTGGCCTGCCAGACCACGGCTGACGAAAAATATCAGTTCGGAACCTATCCTCCCATGAGGATAAGTGCAGAGGCCCCCTAAGACGCATAGCTGTGACGTACGAAAAGAAGTGAGCCAACTGATCCAAAAATGGTCTGAAATTGTTCTTGTAATAGTACCATCGCCGCCCGAATATACGCCTGTTGATGGGACGTAGCATGTGCAACCGACATAGCCACCACCTCAGTTGTCGTCAACACCATGTTGAGTGGCGCCATAATCTTCCTTATGACACTATCCAAATGCAAGAGCTCACGACCCTTGACCAGGAACGGCGAGTAGGCTTTCTGTTTGGTTCCCAACAACGTAATATCATCATCCACCAGAGGGGAGACGATCAGCGTAGAGAAACCATGAACATGAGCAGATGCTAAATTGAAGCGGGGAGCCACGAACCCATCCTTAACCTTTCTCAGGTTACCAAACATCATCCAGAGACGCTGCCAACTGAGTGATGCAAGGACGAGGCGGGAAGGTGATAGAACCAAAATCACCTGTCTTCATATCAAAACTGGATAACAAATCCGAAGGCGAACTACTACGCTGTAGTTGGAGGCTATCGGCAATCCAAACTAACAATTGAGGTGTGTCAACAGCATCAACGCTAATATCCAAAGGAGACGTACCATCTGAAGGGGAGATGGCGTAGCCGAATGATGAACTTCCTCCAAATGTTGAACTGGAGCGGACGTAGGGCCAGAAGACTGAATAGCAGAGTAAGATGCTGGAGTCTGATGCCGTAAAGCCGAGGCTACCGCTTGCACAATAGCGTCAAAATCAACAGGTTGTGAAGTCGGACCATCAGACCCCGGATTCCAGGAAACTGGTAAAATAGGTCTCGCCACAGGCCCCGTTGGAGGAGGCAAAGACGAAACAGGGGATGATAACGAGGGATGACGAGGCGCCCCACTAAGAGAAGACGAGCAACCAGCTGACTGATACAAGTTCCTGTGATGAAACGATGACAGGGTAGGGTCCCTCACACTCGCCGCTCTAGTTGGTAAACCAAACCCCGCTTTGACAGTTTCACAGGAAGAAACAGTAGTACTCATGGAAAGTGGCGCTCCCACCACTGAAGACGCATAGGAAACACAAGGTGTACTAAGCGTCGCATTGGGAATAAGCGGGCACCGGGAACAAATGTAGCAGAAGAAACAAGCGCCGAACAGGTAGCAAGCGACGCATTGAAAGCAAGAGCTGAGCTGAGTGTACCAAGAGCTGAACCAGACACATTGGAAGTAAGAGCTGAACTCTGAGCAAGCAAACCAAATGCACTGTGAGGAACCACTGAAGCCAGTGCTCTATGAGGAAGCGCCGAACTGGATACACTAAGCGCACCGAAACGGGAGCACTGTGAGTAAGCGCCGAACCAGGGGCAAACAAGAGTGCCGAACTGGAAACAAGTGGCGCTCTGAATGTAAGCGTGGAATCAGGACAAAGTGGCGCTCTGCAACCAGGTACCTGTCCCGAAAGGTAAACGGAGGTAAACGACGCACTAGAATAAAGTGGTGGTCCGTAACCAAATGGTACAGGATAAGGGATAGATGTGGAAAAAGTCGCACTGGGAATCATCGGCAAACTTGTTGACCCCACCGGAGGATGAGAAAGCGCCGAACCGAAACTATCCACTGTACCAGAACCAAGTGTCACATGAGACACAAGCACCAAATGGGAAGTAAATGTAGAACCAACCACCGAAGTGGAAAGTGCCAAACTACAAGCAAGCATCGCTTGAGAGGTAATGTTAGGAATCAGACCAAGCGCCGCATGAGAAACTACCACTGAAGGAACATAGGGGCGCTGAGGAACAGTTACGACCGAAGACGGACGGGGCTGAACAGCAGATGTAAATAAAACGACAACCCTAGGTGAGGAGTCTTCTAAAGTGATAGGCCTGGATGCATGCGGACGGAAAAGTCGACGCAGATTTTCACTGAGGTAAGAATCAGATGCCTCCCATAGGAAATCTTCATTAGGAGACGGGGACTTTCGAACGTCGAACTGCAGTTTTCTTATGTCGTTCTGCCTTAGGACATTTAGACGCAGACAGACCCTCAGATGTTTTGCAACGATCCCTATCTGACATGCATCTACATGCTACCCGGCGATATTCAGAGAAAGCATCGTCGTCGAGGCCAGCACAAAAAGTGCAACGTTGAGACCAATCACAATGACCTAAACAATCTGCACATAAAGCATGTGGATCTGCCGCCGAGAAATTACTGTTACAATTGTCACAATGTTTGCGCTTCTTAGAACAATTACGATTCGATTTACCCATGTTGAAACAACAATCAAACTTTCTTAGAGACAAGCACAAGTCCACACGACGTAGCGACAAGAAAGAGAACGACAGGCACAGGTAGTCACGTGATCATCTGAGCGAGCTGCCCGCTTACGGAGATGATTGACAGGTGCTGATATCGGAGTGGGGGCAGAGGTCAGGGCACGTTTCCACACATGGTCATAGAAGAAGAAGAGAGGTGCATACCGTGAGATAGGATAAGTTTAAAAATATATTAAATGACTGTCGAAACTCTTGAAAGAATTAAGTGTGCACCCCTCCTTTCTCAAAAAGCTGTATCCGCCTCTGCATATATTTGATTGTCACTGGCCAACCTTGAAACATGCAGGTGGAATGAGACAAGTACAAGAAGACTGTGGCTGTGTTTGATAAAGTAAGGGCCGCAAAAACACCTTGTGCCACAGCACTGTAGCTTACACGGATAGGCAGATTACAATATCAACAAAGACAGACACCCCTCAAAAGGTGCTTCTTAAATGTTATCTAAATATTTTGTACAAAAATATGCAGTGACTGATAAATATTAACAAGGGAACTTCGTTTAAAATAAGCCATTCGGCAATAAGGACACTCTTACTCAGATTTCAGCAAATATGGTTACGTAGATACTGAGAAAATACAGAATTGTTTTGCAACCTAATGTTCATCTAAAAAGGGTCAATGGCTGTATTCATTATTTAAATCTTCCAACAGATATTGTCCCTCACACAAATGTTTTGCTGTTCTTGAGAATATCATGTTTGGATACTTTTATCATGTTTTAGACAAATTAACAGTAAAATGCTTTTGCTTTTAAAAGAATCTACTACAATATATCTGCTACCAACCTTATTCTTGTTTACTGTTAGTGTGTGCAGTGATGACAGCTTGGGAAACTTCATATTATCATTGAGTTCATTGTTGTCAAGCACCAGTTCTTCAAGACCTGAAAAATGTTCCAGTCCATCTAGTCTCCTAAAATGATGAAAAATGGAAAAGTGTGGATCAGTGAATCAGGTCATGCAAAATGTCCAAAGACTTTTATCAAAGTTGTTGAGGACAGAATGTCCAATTAAAAGTTCATGAAATTGTGAATTGCTGCATCACTAGGACTGACTGACTGTCAGGCAAAATGTACAAAATACTTTTAATATAAGTGTTAAGGACAGAATGTCCTGTCAATGTTTACATAATTGTGAAAATGCCCCATGGCAACTTGTCTCAAGCAAAATCACAGAACTCCTCATTTAATGACCACCCCAGGTTGACCTAGCATTCCAAAGTAAAAACACATGCAGTGATGACAAGCTCTGAAACAGAAATTTCCATGATGCTATTTACCTTATCATGAAAGTTACATGTACTCCTGGTTTAATTACACCACTTTTGCTTGGCACAACACATATATACACATGTTTTACTGGTACATGTTCATAAATACATGTTCAGGTACATAATAAAATTAAAGGCCACGTCTGGTTAATGACCTTAAACCTCAGTTTCTGCCAATGAAATGTTAGATTATGTTTAGAAATAACAAACCTGGCCACTTCAATACCCAGCCCAAAGCTTGGCACCATACATCTAATAATACATGTAACTGTGTACTCTGGAACAGGTCAACACCAATGGAAGAAGACTGATTCAACGCCAAATCATTTTTATGAACTATCAAAAAGATTCTTACTGTAATCTGTTAAAACTGAGATCTAATCTCCTTGTCACTTTGGCATAATCATCTATAGCAGCTTGTGGAATTTCTTCAACATCTTGGCCAAGACAGGATAACTGGAAAATAAATTCCATTATAAATAAAATGTTATTCAGTAATGCTTTGATTCTGGAGTAAACAAAAAATTCAGACGTCACAAAAAGCAACAATGCACATAGAGAACATAGCTGATTGTGCTCCAGTTTCAGATTTACATTACACGCTTCACACGAACACATTTGATAAGGCGGACATATTGAATATCAAAGTACTATATCATTGCATAACAAAATTCTTATACAAAGAACCTAATGCCAAAGCATCTCTAAATAGTTTTAGAAATTTCTTGTGAAAGACACCACTTTTTAATTTGTGTTTTAATAAAATGATATCTATCAATATACAAAGAAAACACTTTGAAATATTAGGGTGCAAGCAATAACAGCCTTGGCATTCAAACAGAAGGTGAAATTAGAAGTTTTATCTCTTATATTAGCTTCTTCAGAAGCTTGTAACTTGAGGCTTGTTATTTTGAAATGAAACTCATGGAATGCTAAGTCCACATATGAAGCTGCTACTCTCACATTGCACAAAGTTACATGTAACGGTTACTGCTGATGCTGCTGCAATGCTGAAACTCTTGTAAAGACGGATCAAGGAGACAAGATAACACTGATATATGATTTACTTATATTGAAATATATTAAATCAAAACATCAACCAGTGTAAAGGCAGAAGAATTGAAAATTTAAACTATAAATTGTATATTTATAATACTTATCCTATCTCATGTTATGCATTTACTCTTGTCCTGACAACACTGGAGTGCAGTCGAGGAATGCAGGTCAAACAAAGAAAACTCTCTCCTGCATCTCCCACAAACTGTCCCCTTTGTGTCATCCTTACCCATGCTGATAACATGTGCAACATTTACAGCTTAAAGTTGTATCCAAACACCCAGATAATAAATTTATTATGGAGAAAAAAATTCTTAAAGGGAATGACGTCACTTAAGAGACAAGTGGTCGACCTCAGCAGGACATACACTTTACATGAGCTTATCGTAACGACCTACAACAATATGTGGAGCTTGGGTGTGTTTATGGGGTTTATGCCCGGACTGTCGACAACAAGAAATAATCCGTCCAAATTACTTGTCGACAGTCCGGGAAAAGGGAGGTGATGTTCTACATGAGTGACTTCACTCCCAGTGTCATCGAAATTAACAAACCAATTAAAACAGAGTGTGATATATATAGTAGACAATATAGTTATTCAGTCAATATAACAACATGCATGTATCATATGTCACACAATATAACATATTTGTATATATATTTCATAAAGCTCACACAATATATTTGTGTGTGTGTCTTCATGGCATACTTGTTGATTTTGTTGTGCCAACCTTCCAAATTATTGTTAGTTCTGTGTCCACCATTTTCAAAATGATTCCAAGTTGGCAGTGTCCATGGACCTTCTACCCAGGTGGTAGTAACGTAATCCATCAGCTGTGTCGCCTTTTCACCTAGTGGTGCGTCTGCAGATATGATGGACAGGTTGCATCTGTACATCTCCAGTATGTTTTCTGAGCTCTGCATCTGTTGACTCTGTACTTGAATCCATTGTGGTAAAGATTCTGACCTCTATGAAGGTTGTCAATCAATGTAACCCGCACCATAGCATTTGCCATTTTGACAGTGGTAACAAAATATTCATGATCTATTATATATACCCAAATGCTAAATGTTTACAACAGCATTTCAATAATCCTTCTACTCCCAATATCACAAAATAATTTGTAAGCTCTCTGTTTCTTTCCGGATGTTGTTGCATGTTAAACTCCAAAATGGTAATCCTTCCACTCGCATAACGTAAAATAATAGTCTGTTTTTGCAACCTTAATTCTCTTGCAAATTGTTAAAAAGACATTCTCTTTAGTCAACTTAATTCATTTACTCATGATACGAGCATAGCTCTAGCCGCCATAGCCACTTGCAAACCGCTAAGCGAACATTCTCTTTCATTAATTAACACCGTCACGGTATGTTGACCACGCGATGTCGACACTCTGGGTTTTTTGTTTTGTCGACGGTTAGCAACATCCTATTTTTCATTTGTCGACAGATCGGGCTGACACCGTTTATGGTGAGGTTTTAGAAGAGGCTGAAAAAGCTCTTTCAGGTCGCTTCAATTCCAGGGTCGAAAGAACAAAAGAAAGTGCACAACATGAGTTTGAAAATTATATTTTATGTTTACACTTCAAATCATGGAAATCTTTAAAAATGTCTTTTTGATAACTTTAATTAATTTATTATATGCTGGACATTATGATCAAATCATAATTTGTCTCTGTAAGTTCTGTTTCCTTTCTGGGATGTGGTGCTTGTACACAAAACATACATAATCCAAGACATTATCACTGTAAACTCAGTCATTATTCTGTTTTACTTGGCAATGAAAGTGCACGAAAAATCATTGACAGACTTTAAATAATTAATTCATACCAAGGTGTATTGCCACACAACAGATGGTGAGTTTCCAGTGATACTCTTTGATGTGGTGTATTGTGTCAGAAGTATTGTTTTACTTATCAAAACACTGTTTGCTGTAAAAGTGTGAAATGCGTTTACTGAGGAACTGAAACAATGTTTATTGTGCTGATTTCACTCACAAAATCGGGTGATTCAATCAATAGCATGATTAAATGAAGCTCAGAATTTAACGTTATGTTTCTTACATCAACATGGAAAGTTTTAGCTCAATCAGAAAGCTTGTGCACAATATCTTTTTCACAATTGTAAATGCAGTCCCACTAAACATTCATTACTACTTCTTACTTGGCAGACATTGATATGCAGATGGTTACATACAGCTAAAGAAGTGGCAGACTGGAAAATATATCTCAGGGAGGTAAGTGACTGGAGATTGTAACTCTTTCACAGATCTAGAGGAAACTGAACTACTTGAGACAACTGTCCAGATTGAGGGTTGATTACATGACATTACATTAACTTATTTTTCTACAGCATCACTGTTTTAACGGGCTTGAGATCAGAGGGGGGCCGCATGTCTGACGGGTTGTGGCAAATGAGGCACTGATAGGAGAACAAGTAACCTATTGCTGCTACTATTGCCAGCTTGGTTTTTGAAAACTAAAAGTGAGCTACAAACCCCAATTATTAAAACTTGATATCTATAACCTTACAACACTTAAACGGCTGCCTTTCAATAACTTACCACTGTTCGCGAAAACTAAATATTAGTTTTGTCAAACATATCAAGGGATTAAGCCCATTTGTCTGCAAATAAACGTAACTAATCTCCATATAGTCATTTACCACCTGTAGAAAGTTGTGTTCACCAGAGCCCTATTATAACTTTGAGGAAGACACATCTGAATTCTAAAGGTTGTCTCTTGTATGGCATTTAAATGTCTGCTGATTTATAACAACAGTTAAATTTCTTAAAGTCACATATGCCAAGTAGTGATGTAGAGAGCTCATCTTTGACTGTCAGATACCAGAACTATTAACTAGTTTTAATAAAAACGTATTAAACGATAGCTCGTTTAGTGCCCTGTATATGCACATCCAGAGGTACAGATAAGCTGCATATCTGCATACATTACGCAAATATTTATGTGAAAACTCAATTCCTATTAAGTCTATTGCATACAAGTATGCTTCAATTTTTGTAAATACTCAATAGATTTGATATTACATGCATACAAACAAAAACAGATAAAAGAATTGAGATATATTGAGAGTTTCTATTTCAGCACCTGGAGTTGGCAATTTGCAGTCTTTCTTATCGCTTCTCATATAACAGATCAAACATAAATAACAAACACGTAAACAAACATTTAAACTTTAATATATTTTTACAATTAATGGAAAATGGCGAAATACCCAGTTGCGTTTGAGTGAGGTGGGTACAATTTATTTGGTTACTCAAATGAACATTAGGATGTGACCCAATTAAGATGAACACATGCTAGTACATAACTCAATGACCCCAAAAGTTATCTGTAGCTCTGTATATCATTGTTGACAGTTCATGCTTATGACACACTTGGGGCAGCACGACAGACAATCCTACTTAGAAGCCACTTGAGACAGTATTCTAAGCAGATGTCTTTGTTTAATCCACTCATTGGTGCAGAAATTAAACAATATTCGGGAATAAAGTTAGTAAAATATGCACAGAAAACTACAAATACCCAATGCCAACATAAGAAAATACTAAATGTCTCAAAAGTATCTGGAACCCTGATAACATCCCCTTAAAAAATATAAATTATATTCACCTTGAAATTGGTTTAATTGTCATGTTCCGCATGCTTAAGTTACTTAAAGGGAAACAAAGCTTTAAGTCATGGAGGTGGCGCCATCTTTATTAGCCTGTGTAATCACTGGATGGCAGCGCCAGCCACCAAACAAGCTGGGTTTCAGACTGGCAAGGGAGTGCCTCATTTAAAACCAGGAATCCCCTACATATTTGATCAGGTAAGGCTTGCTAAAACCTTTCACCTTGCAAATTCGTATATATGTGTAAATGTATATGTACAATGATATACTTCATCATGCAGCAAATATATTATATTGGCTACAAAGAAGTTCACTTAACATACTCAAAACAGTTACGACTCTTACTTTTCTTTCAGGCAGATTGTACGCAGTACAACCATTGCTATACCTCTTTGTTCTCCATGTTTGATCATTCCCTACATTAACACTCAGTTATTGACTTTATTACAAGCAGTAATTAGTAGTGGCAGCACTCAGATTAACTTGACTAAGGAAAATATTTCAATAAAGTTCACCCCTGAGTGTGTCAAGGAGGTATAGCTATCACTGGTCCACATTTAGCATTTCTCGTTTCTGGTGTAATTTTTCAACTGGGTTATAGAAAGGTTTGATGTGGTGAATGTAATACATGTTATGTAATACTCATGTGCAGCCCTCAGAGGATTAGGAATGGTAAGCTGAGTTGCAAATATCTTCAATCAAAAGATTGACCGACAACACGTTGATTAACTGTTATATTGCAAAGTGGATTTGTCAAAAGTGTTCAT